TCCGAGGTATCAATCGCACCCGGACGAACAGCACGGGGCGGGTATAGTGACGCACGGAGAAGACATAGGACGCCACGCGCCAGGAAGAGAGGAGGATAAGCCGGGTTGAGTCGCGAAGCCTCGTTCAACGTCGATGTCGCGAGTTGGAGGTAGTGATCTTTGGTCTTGGCTTCCGAGTATAGTTCCCCTTCAGGTGCGACTCGAGGAGCATGTCGGCTCTTTAGCAGCAGCATCCAGCAGATCCAGCCCAGCAGACCGAGTTTCTCCTTTGTCGCTCCGTGGGCGACGGAGGCCAGACCCTTAGTCAAGATGTCGATGGCATGGTCGATTTGCTTTCGCTTCGCATAGGCGAGCGCAATGATCACCCAAAAATTCTTGGCCGCTTTTTCGTTCTCCAAGAGGGTGCAAAGCTCGGTCGGGTCATCGGGGAGCTCGAGCAAGCTGACTTCGACTTCACTGTCGAAGCTGGATGCAGGAATGTCGATAGCATCCGGAATGTCGGAAAAGCGCAGGTTGCTCAATGGGCTAGCAGAAGGTACAGCCTCACCGTTCAGGCCATTGGTTTGGCCATTCTCAAGAGGCGCCATGGTGTGTCCGGGGACGGGAGGGATGAGGCCACTTTGCGAGTAGGTATGGGATTATAGGAGCCTCAACTCATGATCAAGCGAGGCGGTCCATCAAAGAAATTTCAGGATTAGGACCGGTGAGGTTAGCGACTTCGAACTTGGAGAAAACGCGAAAAAGTGACTCTCGGAGACTAACAGCGCGGCGATGAGAAGGTGAGAATTGGACGACAGGAGTGGCTGGGCCGCACCGCCACAGGGCGCCACACCGCATACAATGAACAATAAGTGCATTCATTCGCCTTCGCTGGATCTAACGAATAATCACTTTCCAATGATTTTCGAATAAAATTGAGCAATTGAATAGAAAAATGGCATTTACTACATTTACTAATGGAATATCTAGGCGCAGTATCCACATCACTACAACAATCGGCTTGTTACGAATTTGCAGAGCAAAGCAACACCGACCAGCACCACAAAGATAAGACCAAGCTCACCCCAGTGATGTAGGCTACCATATGACTCGACATATCCAGCTGAAGCAGCAGCCTGTTGGCCATCTACTGCATGATCGGCCTTGATCGAACCGGCCAACTCGGTTGGGAAGCGGCCCGTTTCGAAGTACTGGTCCATAAGTTGATCCTTCTCGGCCCAGCGCGCTGTCAGCCAGTCCTCGAACTCCTTCTGGTCATCAAGAGGAATCTTTGAGACCTGGAAGCGTCTCCAATGCATGTTGACTGAAGTCGGCGGTCGTCCTTGTAGATATGTGGAGCGAAGAGTGAAGTATTTATCGGGATAGCTTCCCTTTCTATTGCCAAACTTGTGAGTATCGTTCTATAGTAGGAAGAGGGATAGAGGGGGGAAACATACGGTGGTCCTTCATAGGCCATGGTGCAGTCATACACCCAGTCTACGGTTCCCCGCAACTGCTGAAGACAGAAGAACAGACCTGTAGACCGCGGAAGAATCATGTGCTTGAATGAAGGCAGTCCTTGTTTCTCCCCCCAAATGTCGCTGCGTCTCTTGGTATTGATGGACAGGTTTGTCCCTTCGGGGAAGATTAGCAGCCACATAGGATCGTACTCCGGGCGGGCTGAGTTGGAGCCGGTGTAGACTGTCTTCAGCTTATCCAAACGATGCTGAAGCCTCGGCTTGTCGGACATCCACTTGCGAGCCATGAAGATAAAACCGTAGAACATCATGCCAGTTCCCACGACAGGGATATACTTAAGCGACTCTTTCAAGATGATGAAGATGCGGCCATGCATCTGGTTGGTGTATGCAACCCACCAGAGGTAGACCCAATCCGTGTAGACCTGGTGGTTTGAAATCATGACAAGACGCTCCGGGAACCTGGTCTCCAGCAAACCATCTTTCGATAGATGGATCTGCCCACGCACGCTAGCATCGCCGCTGACCCGGAAAAGCGTCGGGGAGCTCCATTGGGTGACAGAACCAAGAACCAGCCCAAAACATTGTTTTGTATATGCCATATATGAATAGTAGTAATATCTGTTGATCAGATACAGCGGGCAGCCGATTAGTTGCGTCACACAGATTGCTATAATACAGCAGTTCGCCCACGTTATCAGCAGAAGTGAGCGCAGTATCTGCATGGGAATGCCATGTTTGAGACGGGGCTCGGAAGGTGGTTTGGTGGAGAGCTTCTGAAGCTCCCCGATATCCTTAGCGGTCGGTGGCTTGCGCTGTCGAACCTCGGTAGGCTCCATGGTGGAAATTCGGAGATCCGGAGATCCCTCTCGCTTTAGAGACTGAGAACTGGGGTAAAAAGTCAAGTGTTAGACTGGAAGCTAGGGAATGCTTCTACAGCTGTACAGAGCCCACATACAGAAACGGTCTGGTCGGATGCGGAGATAGTGATGATCGATGGTGTGGGCTCAACGCAACAAAAGCTAGGCAGAAGCTACAAGATGAAATAATTTGCCATATCCTAGGGGAAAGGAGGAAGTAATAATAAAAAGACCGTGGAATCAAAACGGGATAAGTGTTGGAGAGCTGGGTCAGTTGGAGAGTTGGATAGTTGGAGGGGAAAATCAGGCGGATCGTGTGGATCCAAAATGACGGTCACAGCCTCATAACGTCACCCAACTTTCTTATTATTTACTTGACAGCTCTCTTTCTTTTTGATTTATCCTTCCCCTGAGAACCTTGAGCTATAAAACCAACTCTTGGGTCAGCTCATTACACTCCAGGGCTCCAGTTCTTACCTTGGGCTGAAATATGGCGCGTTGATGTGAGCAACCCAACTCGAATCCTCTGATTGGAGTCCTCCTGGCTGATACACATGATCAGGGTCGATAGGCCTGCGATCTTCCTTACAACATGCTCGGCGCCATCTTCCGCAGGAGTCCCCGCCTTGCCTTGCGCCAGCATTTTTCCACGTCTCGACCACGTCACGAGATCAAAGACATCGGCTCTCTGTCTCAGCGCTTAATACCAAAATACCAAGGTGTGGCTTGGAGCTGTCCTGTCGGACCGGCCTTACTTGTTGGTTCAAAGACTAATGGATTTTATCAGAATCCTGCGACGGAGAGCTCCTGTGTCTCCAGTGGCCAGCACCGCCGCGAAATATCTTCCTGGTGCGCAAAGACTGCGCCCCGGCTGTTACCGATTCTCTGATTGAATTCGTCAAGTAAGATTGAAGACATGCCCATGGGAAAACGACTTGGCGCAAGGCTGACATCTACGAGTCATGTTTCCTCTACATACCCATCTATCTCGGTGATTCTCGAGTCAAAGACTGCCACCGAAATACATTCCTCGCTCTCTTTCCCCGTCTACTCGGTTTCTCTTGACGAGAAAACGACCGCGCTTCACGATAAAGTCGACCTCACGGTGACCCTGGGCGGCGATGGTACGATTCTACATGCAGCGTCGCTCTTCGCGACCTGCTCAAATGTTCCGCCCGTTCTATCATTCAGCATGGGCACATTGGGCTTCTTGAGTGAATGGAAATTCTCAGAATTTAAGCGGGCTTTCCGAGAAGTCTACATGTCTGGGGCTGGGGCAGGGGATCGGACACCTGTGTTGGAAGATGTCCCGGGGCCGGGACTCACAGAACAGGAAACTGAGATGGGTCCGACCGGGTGGTCCTCCGTCCGGGGCAAATCTATGGGCTCTACGCGCGGGGCCCGCATTTTGATGCGCAACCGGTTGAAAGTAGGACTGTTTGCCGCCGACGGAACCGAAACGACGCCTATCCGGACCAAGACCGATCAGGGCGAGGGAGTGTATGTGATGAATGAGCTCCTCATCCACCGTGGCAAAGAACCGCATTTGGCTGTGGTAGATGTGTATGTGGGTGGGCGGTTCCTGACCGAGGCTGTGGCAGATGGAATTATAATTTCCACGCCCACGGGAAGTACAGCCTACAGCCTGAGTAGCGGGGGTAGTATTGTGCATCCACTCGTCCCGTCCATCCTCTTAACGCCGATCTGCGCGCGTAGCCTCAGCTTCCGGCCATTGGTCCTTCCTTCCAGCACCCCCATCACATTGCGGCTGAGTGAAAAGAACCGTGGGCGCGAACTAGAAGTCAGTCTGGATGGTGTTCATTTAGGCCAAGGGATGGCAGTTGGTATGGAGGTCCGAGTTTGGAATGAGGAGATGCGTCACGGGAAGAATGAGTGGCAGGGTGGTGTACCCAGTGTGATGCGAAGAAGTGTGGGGTGTGAAGCTCATGAGGGATGGGTAGGTGGATTGAATGGATTGTTGAAGTTCAATCATCCATTTGGAGAGCCATAACGTATAATATAATATTTTGAATGTAGAAGAATATATTAAGAAGAACAAATACATACATGTGTAGTATGTATGAATATAAAATCTATACGATGGAAATCCTAAGTGGGAGACCGTGGATCCAATCCTATGGGCTATTCTGATTGGCAGAGGCTTGTTTTCTGTAGATGAACTTCCGGAGTACCTTCGGCCCTATCTCAGGGGACATCTCTTCCCCCCCTTTCTCTTCTTTCCACTTTTCTCGATTCTTCTTTATTTTTTATTAGGGCTGATATTGCGTTGTTTATTCTCGAGCATCCTCGCAGTGCGAGGACCGCTCCTTATTTCTAACAAAGGTAACCATCCTACCCCTCCTTCGATTCCCTCGACAATACTCTACTCTCCCCTTGTCCTGGGAAGCTCGTATGTTCGAGTGACTATATTGGCAAAGAGAACATCGTGAATCGTTCTTTAGATCATACTCTCACTGAATGCAGTTGCTGATTCTCGTCTAGTAGCGCTAGCCGGTCTTGAAGACCTCAGGAGGTCTCGGCGCATTCGTTTACCATCCCCCCTCTGCCACCCCCTGCGCGACCTGTGAATCCCTTGAACAATGACCTCGTATGGAAAGTATGTAACCGCACCGTCGCCATTTTACCCCAAATCCGGTAGCATTTATTCACCCTCCATAGCAACATGTACGCGCCGGAGCAGTTCATGAATCCGGGGCCAGCCCCCCGGCCCCCTACCGATCGACCCCCCAAGTTGACCCTACCGACCAACAACACAACCACCTCCTTCGGTCAGATGAGCTTGGACTCTCCGAGCACACCGGGTCCGTCGACCGCAAATCTTTCGCTTTTCCCCAACACCAGCAGTCCTTCGCTGGCTATGGCTCGGAGTAATACCAGCCAAAATGGAATCTCGATCATCAAAGAAGGCACGGTCCGCTGCAAAGAGGACAAATTTTTGGCAACTTGGAATACACGTTACTTGATCCTACGTGAATATAAACTTGAATTTTTAAAGAGTGATTCTGGCAAGGTAGTGATTACATTCCCTTTGTCCTCGGTCACCGCTGTCGCTCGCTCCGAGGATTCCAAGATGGCCTTCGAGGTCACTCGCTTGGCCAACCCGAAAGATGCGAACTCCAAATCCTCACTTCTTGCCCGCGACCTACCTACCAAGACGATCACCTGCGAAGTCAAGTCCGATGATGAAATCTATGAGTGGATCGACAAGATCTATGAGCGCTGCCCTGGCATGGGCGGCGTCAGCAACCCAACAAACTTTAGTCACCGTGTTCATGTCGGCTTTGACCCGAATACCGGCGCCTTCGTAGGCTTGCCTCCCGAGTGGGAGAAGCTTTTGACTTCCTCGGCTATCACGAAGGAAGACTACAAGAAGAATCCCCAGGCTGTCATCGAGGTTCTTGAATTCTACTCAGATATCAAGATGCGCGAGCAGAACCCGCAGTACTATGCTGGAATCAACTCCCCGCCCAACGGTCAACCCAAGGCATACGGTAATAGTGTTGGAAGCTCCATTGCACCCCCGCGTCCTCCACCACCAGGACCTATGCAGCGCCTTGATAGCAGTCAGTCGAAATCTGACGGTTCTATGCGCTCTGCGTCATCCTCAATTGGACACTCGGACCGTGCGGCAGACCACCAACAGCAAGTTGAACGGATGAAGGAAATGGCCGACCAAGAGCGTCGCCGCGTGGAGGAGGAACGTCGCAACAAGGAGGAGCAAGATGCTTACAATGCTTCCATCCCGAAGAGCCGTCCTACTATGGCTCAACAAGAGCTTGGTGGATATGGCGGCGACGAGCCATCACAGAATAGCCGCTATCAACCAAGCCGCCCTGCCCCTCAGGCTCCAGGATCTGCTGCACGCCAGCAGGACCCCCGACAGCTCACTGCACAGCGTCCCGCACCGGCGCCACCTTCACAGAGTCCCTACGGCCAAAGCGTGCCCCGAGCACCAGGTGCTCCTCGAACTGATGACCGCCAAGGCTCTCCAAGCTCCCGCTACCCTCCTAGTGACCCTCGGGCCCCAGGGTCAGCCAACCGACATCAGCAAAACGGTTCCAAGGGACAGGCCGGACCCCCTCCGACACGTCTACCGGCTCCCGTTCAAGCTGTGAAGCCGTTGAACATTGCCAACAAGCAAAACGGGAACAAGCAGAACGTCCCCGATGGCGTCCGCCAGGCCGAAGCTGCTCTTACAAAGAAGGCAGATCAGCCACGCCAGAAGGAGGTGCGCATGTCGGCCATGTCAGAGAACGAGGTCATGGAGCGACTGAGATCTGTTGTATCCAAAGACAACCCAAACGAGTCTTACAGCAAGCAGCGCAAGATTGGTCAGGGTGCATCTGGATCCGTGTATGTGGCGCGCGTTAAGGAAAGTGCACCTTCAGGTGTTGCCCACGAGCTTTACCGGACGTATGGCCCGCGCTGCCAGGTGGCCATCAAGCAGATGGACCTGCGCAGTCAGCCCCGCAAGGAGTTGATCGTCAACGAAATTATCGTCATGAAGGACAGCCAGCACCCGAATATTGTCAACTTCCTCGACTCATTCTTGCAGGAATCAAGCAATGAACTCTGGGTTGTCATGGAGTTCATGGAGGGTGGCGCCTTGACTGATGTGATTGATAATAACCCAGTAATTACTGAAGGTCAGATCGCGACAATTTGTGCTGAGGTATGTTTTCCGTCCAATGTTGGTTTCATCCAATTACTAACGTTTTATCTAAAGACTTGTAAGGGTCTGGCCCATCTGCACAACCAGAGCATCATCCACCGTGATATCAAGAGCGACAATGTCCTCCTCGACCGTGTTGGCCACGTCAAGATCACTGATTTCGGCTTCTGCGCCAAGCTGACCGAAACCAAGAGCAAGCGCGCCACGATGGTCGGCACCCCTTATTGGATGGCCCCCGAGGTGGTCAAGCAGAAGGAGTACGGCCCGAAGGTCGACTGCTGGTCGCTGGGCATCATGGCTATCGAAATGATTGAGTCGGAGCCTCCTTACCTGAACGAGGAGCCTCTGAAGGCCCTCTACCTTATTGCCACCAACGGAACCCCCCGTCTCAAGAAGCCCGAGAAGCTCAGCAAGGAGCTTAAGGCTTTCCTAAGCGTCTGCCTCTGCGTCAATGTCCACAGCCGTGCTTCCGCCGATGAGCTCCTCGCCCACGAATTCCTGCAGACTGGATGCAGCCTGGCTAGTCTGGCTGAGCTGCTCCGCTGGAAGAAGGCTACTGGCTCGTAGATAACTGAGGTTTCCGTTCTGCTCTTCATTTACCGCAACTTGGATCTCGGTCCCATTTACACGTCTTCGTTTAGATGTCCATGTCCCACTCCCATTCTCAAGGAGCCGCTTTCTTCCCATGTGCTTCTTTCCCCGTCTCCTTAACTGCACTCTTCGTTGAAGATATCATTGCTGCTCTGCTCTCTTTACTTATCATACACAACCCTGGGCGTGGATAAATTGGCGTTTGATCTCCTTTTTTCTTTTTCCCCCTTTCCTCTTCTCTTCGACGCTTGCACAAAACAATACCATGTTTCCCCCCTATGACGTTCACGATTTTGCGACTTGCACTGTACTATGTGTCCTTGCACAAAAGCGAAGAATAGTTTAAAATCCGATGTGACTTTGACTCGATTTCTTCATCAAAAGGAATCGACTTTTATGTGCTCTATTATTAATAGCCCTGGAGGTGTATGTAACCTTGGGCTCTTCGTGCCGTATTTGGATACTCAGCCAGTCGTCCAGAGGGATATTAAATCCATGCTTGTCTCCGTATAACCTTATGAAGTCGATTTCATACATGGTTGACAACCTCTCTGACTCGAATTCGTGAACAGAATAGTCGGTTGCTTATACGGCCTGTGGCCTTGACGATATAGTCCTGGGGATAATCTGAATATCTAGTTGGCTCGAGAATATTAGAGAGATCACGTTGAAGATGGCACAACGATGCCGTTTTCAATATCTTTTCGAAGTCTTTTATCCTTCTACCGCGCGGTAGCAAGAGTGAGGCTAACATGAAATTGAATCTAGCATATCATTAACAAGCGTAAAACTAGTATATAGCAATTCATACATAGTACATAAAGAACAAAAGAAATCCAAACTCTCATCGTACCCCACTCCCCAAACCCCAATCCAAGAAAGAAGAAGAAATCAGGGCAACTCATCTCTCACAGCCCTCCCCAACCCCCCACAAGCCTCACCAAACAAAACCCCAAGAAGAACACTCTCCCCCTCAGAAGCCGTCCAACGCCCCGCATCCACAAGCCTCTGCTTCCAGGCACTCTGCTCAGACGCAGAAAGATCCTTCCAAGCTTGCAGCTTCTCCTCCTCAGACTGCTCGGACTCGCCCGCAGACGCAGACAAAGCAGTCTCAATAATCACACTCTGCTCAGCATTGTCTCCTGCACCGCACCGTATAATGACAGAGAGGGACTGCGGCGCGACAGTTTCCAGATCAGCGGGTGCGGCGCCGGCACGGTGTACGCGGTCCAGGATTTCGTGGAGGGATTCGATCTGCGAGTCTGTAGGGACTATCGTCGCCACTGGGATGTCGGCATCACTGCCGCTTCCGCGCGGCGCAAGAAGTGTATCGAAGTACGTCAGCTTATCCCGTGGGGGTAAGACGTATTCCCGTGCAATGGCTCCGCGGATACTCTCTGGGAGCCACTCTGTGGCGCCGAGGACAGGCGGGGTTCCGCCGCGGATCTCGGCAAATGCGAGCATCGCTACACAGATTGCGGATATGGAGAATATTAAGATGATGATGCTGTAGACTAGTTCCCAGACCTCGGCGGGGCCCGGGGTGACGAGGACGTAGCGTGGGGTGCGGGAGGAGGTTGAGAAGGGAGATAGTGGGAATGTGTGCACGACGACTGTGTTGCCCATGCTGACGGAGGCGAGCTTGATATTCTGCGGGCCGACATCTGGGGTCACTGGGTGTGGGGGCGCAATGAAGGTGGAGAAAGTGAGTTTTGTCATTGAGAAGGGGTGCACGTCGCGGAGAGTTGTGTAGGGGCGGAGGTTGCTGTAGCCCCGGTTTGGTCCGTATTCTAAGGTGAATAGAGGGATGGAGTTGTCGCTGCCGCTAGCTGCGATGACGGTTTGTTGTTGGCCTTGCGGGTTCGTTCCGAGTTGGCAAATGTCGAGTCCTAGGCCGATCTTCACGGTTCGGGGGAGCTTGCGACGTCGTAGGACTTTGGACTTGCTCGATTTGGCGCTGGGGAGTTGAAGGAGGACGAGCTCGCTACCACCGCGGTTTGGGGCGTTTTGGAGGAGGAGCAGGGTTCGGGGCGAGAGGAATCGCAGCGCGCGGAACTTGGGCCGTGCTGTGAGGGCTCCGCTGGCGGGGAGAGGAATAGTGAAAACGGAGCGGACGTCGGGGGAGCTGTTGGAGCGACTGGAGGACGAGATCTCGCCAACCATGACGTCTGTGCCGTTTGTATATGCCACAAGAAACCGGCCGTGTGCATCGTCGGTCTTCTCCAGGTCGTGTTCGAGGCTGACAAAGTCCAGGTCCTCGGCCTCTTCATTGCCGCTTAATTGGATGCGGCCAATGGTATCCTTCTCGCTGGGCGTCTCCGTGGCGCGGAAGAACACAATCTCACCGGACTGGGCGAGACCCGTCGCAACGGCTCCGATCCGTGTATGTTTCTCAGTGCCATCCTTCCCTTTCGGCCACGGCGAGAGTCTCGTCACTCGCTGGTAAGTATCTGAAGAGCCTGTCCCGGTCTTCGTTCGGAAGAGCGATGCCTGCGACAGAGCTGTAGCCTTCCCAGGAATAACCTCTTCCTCGGACTTGGTGTCCGTTGTCGCCTTCTCGTCCTTCTTGCGGTCTTTGGTGGTCTTCTGCGGCACCTCAAACCGGAATGCGCGAAGATGTTGATTGTTATTCTTTTTCTGTTGTTCCACAGAGCTATTTATACCGGCCAGAGCAACAAGCGAGCCCGGCTCGTCGCCAGCCAGCGGGGCCGCAGCCAGCGATGTTACCGAGTCTTCATCGCGCGATAGGTTCAATTCAACAGCCTCAGTGATCTCGTTGCGACATGATGTGTCAAGTAGAGACTGTACAGAAAAGAAAAATTAGTATTTGCACGTCGGGAGGGCGTTTTCTCAAAATGGTGGGACTTGCGATCTTGTTTCCAACTCCACTACGCCCCTCGCCGCCTCCGCCGCCGACTAGGAGTCGGCCGTTGTTACGCGGGTCAAAGTCCGCAGCGAAGAGGGGACACGAGAGTGTCAATTTGGCGGAGTGTACTGTGGGCGCCATCGTTGTTGACAAAGTAGAGTGTAAAGAGGACAGATCGATGACGGAGATGCCCCAGATTCTTGGCGCGGTGCCGATTGTTGGTTAGCGTGACGGAGGAAAACTATATATCTAAAAAATATAGGACCGTTCTAGTTTATTTGATATGAGAAGAAGATAACAAAAAAAAAAAGCAAATAAATAGTATTTTATGATGCACTGTAAGCATTCTAAGCCTCGATTTCCTGGGA